GCCAAGCGCCACATCGGGGCGCTGGCCCGCCTGGGATGGCTGCCGGCCTTCCACGCGGGCGCGTCGGGCGAGCGCCTCGGCCGCTTCGGCAAGCGAGACAGGTCGGACGCAGCGCCGTGGGTGTTGTTGGTGTTGTCTGCACGCGCGCTCCGTGTTCCACTGGCTGTTCGGTTTGGTGTTCGCCGCACTCGGGGAAAGGAAGGGGTGTTTGGCCGCGCCAAAGATTTCGCCTCGTCTCTTCTTCTCTGTGCTGTCTCTCTGCAGCACTTGGATGTGTTTCTTGAAGGCGCTGCATTTGTCGCACACTGCACATCTTCGTCGAATTAAAAATTCGACATCCAAAGGTCAAATTATCAACAAAACTAATTATTATAGACGTTGTAGTGAAAACGATAATTTATTTGTTGAGAAGCTTTTCTCATTCAAATGTGTGGAGCAGTTCACACATGTATATATTTTTCGGGTATGTAAGAAAGGAACGATTCGATTTTTGTCTAAAATCAATAATTAATAACAACCATGTTTAAATTTCTGCAATTTGCTGCAAATGTGATAACTTCACTTTTTATTAAACAACTTTTAAATGATTAACATCAGAAACAATCTTTTTACGTTTTTTACGCCACACATTTTTTACACTAAAGGATATGTATTCTAATCCGTAGTATCATTTATTCTTAAAAGAAATTTCAAATTTGTTATTTCACATTGTACCACAACATACGAATCCTAACACGTGCTTTAAATTTTATATTTTCCCCATTTTTAATAGTTGTATTCCTCCCAGTTATCGTATAGATAAATTACGTAAAAGTTTGCTGCTGTTAAAAGGTGATTGTATTTATACTCGAGACAATATAATAGAACATATAAATGGGTTTCCGAACACTACCGTTTCTCAGATAATTAGTATGTTGTTAGTTTGCCTTTCATACGACTACATGTAAATGAATGCGATAAACTGCATACTCTGTACATAGTTTTCTTCGTTAATGCATGTGAATGTTAAAGATTGTTCGGCCACAAGATTTGGAATAATCAGCGACGGATGTAAAACATGTAAAAGTAAACCTTAATCTGAATGAAAGCATACATAACAAATGAAAGAAGTGCATCAGCATCATATATTATTCTTTTATAAAATTCCAAAAAAGAGAAAACTAATTACGAAATTAATTAGTAACTAGGCCAATATTGGAAATACATTTTATACTAAAATTTGAAAAAAAAACTATTCTGAATTTCAAATAAACAGTCAATAACATTTTTATTAAAAATAACTCGTATTCATTTCATTCATGAAAGTTATTTCGAATATGAAGTTTGCTTATGTATCACAAAATTATATTTTTATTTCTTTCTTATCACAAAAACGTACATCTCAGATGAAACTAAATCTCCTTGCTGGCCGTGCTGAATGCAAAGAGCATCTATCTGTAAATAAATTGTGAACGGGGATTGTTTTGTGTTTGCACGTACATTGCATGCTGTGTTTATTTGTTCTGTAATGAAACTGTAGGCTATAGGAGTTATCAAAGAACTTGGAAATTTAGCTTCCCCAACTAAATCTCTGATCTAATTTACAAAAGTACCACCAGGGAAAAAAATCGCATTTTAAAAAGAAAATTTGCTGCCGCATTCCTAATGGGTATATTTCATTCGTGGAATTTGTTCTAGAATCGAATTGCTAATATTCACATAAAAACTTCAATAAATGTACAGCGTTCATTTGCATGCACTGTTTCCCGAGAGCGAAACGCGAGCGCGGGCCGGTGGAATGCAGGGCAGCCGAAACGGAGGAATGCAAACGTTCCAGCGCCCGACGTTTGCTGGAAGCTGGAATTACTACGCAACTGGAAGCAACGAGCGAGCGCACTTCGGCCGGAGGAACAGCTGGGAACGCGAGAAAAGAATTCTAAAGAAAAATTCCTTGGTTAAGAATATTTGTAGGCGGGATTTGCTAACGAATTTGACGCTGTTGAGCTTCACGTTTCCAAATTCCAGATTACAAATAGAACAATTAAAATGAAATAATACGTTGTGTAATTATATCCCTTTCCAAAGACTTAAGTACATTATTATTTATTATTTATTTGCAATTTGAAATTGAATGCCACGACCTCTACGGTGAAAATAATTAGTTTATTTAAAGTGTAAGTTACATTGTAAACTTTTATCCTAGCAATAATGATCTTATAACTGACCAAAGGGAAGTGTGGAAACCGGATTGGCGCACTTCAAACTTTGTTAGCCGTATGTTGGAAAGGTACAAGTGACTTTCTCAAAGTCATTACCATTTTCAGTTCTTCGTCTACGTCCCTTACATTTAATTGGGATATTACCCAAATATTTATCTTACCATTAACTTGAGAAGAGGAAATATAAATATATGACGAGTGGTTAATTTGAGCAGTGAGAAACATTAAATTTAAATACAAAATCATAAATTATTAATCAAACCTTACACATTGTTTTAAGCCTAAAGGTATATTAAATAGGTTTTTCTGATTGCAAGGTCGTTAATTTATATGTTTACGGTCTATTTTCTCCCACCATATTTTTTCTGCCTCTATTTTTTGGATAAAAGTCGAGTATTAGTTTTCGACATTCTAATTCATTAACTCTATTAGGGCAATAAGTAAGATATGAAAAGATGGTCCTTCATATTGAAAATTACTTTAAGTTTCAGTTCTTACATCTTGTTTTCTAAACGAAGTCTAATATTCCTATATTTAATGATAATGAAAAGCTTTCTTTACAACAAGGTAACAATCAAGCAATTTTTTCTAAACGCTTATATTGATATCGGAAGGTGATATGATTCGATAAATTCTAATACAAAATTCTAAAAAAAACATATTTTTACACAAAAAATGAATAAATAAAAACATTTCGTTAATATTTTGCGCAAAAATACAGACAAGACTGAACGTAAATAATGATGATATATCTTCTTATCTTATTGATTTGGAAAGCTGCGTTCTTACAAAACAATTTTGTTCTATTAATGGCATATCTCAGAATTTTAATTTACATATCTGTATCACATAATTTGAATTCGGAAAAACTTTTAAACTCTTGTAATAAATTTTCTTAAATACAAATTTCTCTTAAAGCATTATTTTAAAAACGTTTAATGCAATATTTTATGAAGTAGAATGTAATATAAATTTAATTATGAAGCCATAACTTAAACCTATGCATCCCCCGTGACATAGTCCAAGGATCACTGTTCGCTTGTGCAAACATTGATAAGTTGCTCACAGAGATGCGCGAGGTGAGGTATGGGCTCCTAATGGGTGCGGCACCGTCCTAACTAACTTCCTACTTTGAGTTCTACACAGAGGCATTGTGGACTTAAGTACGTGTCGGGTACACGTAATGCTCCTTGCTCTCTACAACAAACACGGAGGCGATTGCCTGTTATTACACTCACTCATTAGTTTTGTCTAATAAATTGTTTGTGAAATGTCTCGTAACAATTTCTAAGCAGGATTTATGGAAGGGAACATATTCGAAGTTTGTACCCTCATGAAGGCTTCAAATACTAGCTTTGAAATTAGATGAAATATTCATTAAGTAACATTTTAGTATAGATATCATAATATGCTAAATTATCTTTCACTTCAGTAGATAATGTAATATTCACACAATGAGTACAATAATATATACATAGATAAATTCGGAAATATAATTATTATTTTTTTACCGTCAAATATAAGTATACGTATAATACTTATATTATATAATAGTAATAATAATAATAACAATAATAATAATAATCAGAAATGTGTAGAAACTGGTCCAAAACACTGCGAATACAACGTGTTATTGGAAACCATTACGGGGAAACAATACGGTATTTTGCGTAAAGTATGGTAGAAGCTTACATATCAGTAAATCTGATCTTTAAGAAGCAGCTGCTACCTGGTTTGAAGAAATTTTATATTCAACCGATATCTAACAACATGAACCGAGTATTTAGGGATAATATAATAATAAATACAATGAAAATGGTTGAACTAGATTCCAAGAATTAAGCCAATTAATTCTATTCATGGTTTCGGGTGTCAGTTGACGAATTGTTAAAATAGAGTTGTTTTTGATAGAGTATAATAATTTTATTTCTTTCATTCGCACTCACAATTTCCAAAATTTTTTTAATGTCAGGTACTAACGAAAAATGATTTTTTTAAATATTAAAGAATGAGTTTTAATTATAAATTATTCTAGCAATTGTAAAAGTAAAGACGTGAAAGATGTCATATATTATCCTATTGTGAAACAATCAAATTAATAATCAAATATACAAGCATTGTTCAGCTGAACTTGTATATAAGAGTAAATTTTATACGATTAATAATAATAATAATAATAATAATAATAATAATAATAATAATAATAATAGTAATAGTAATTTTAATGTAGTCATCATATTCAAAGATCCTTTAGTTGATATGATAATGATTATACGTTATAACCGTTTTAAAGCGCCCTGCGAAATTCGATTACCAAATTAACTATGAAAATTTAATATGAAATTATAATTGCCATTACTAAAATTGAACCCCCTCCGTCAGCAGTATTTTTTATAATTATGTAAAATTCTATCACGAGTAAACTCAGTTCGTCTTTGCTCAATACTTTTCTGACAAGACCTTGTTTCAAATTCTTACTTGCAATATCTGCTCACAAGATATCGGTAGGTATACGTTATTATTTTTATACTTGTTTATTTTGATGTTCGTCAATGTTTGTTGCCATGAAGATGTTTGTTGTTGTTGCCATGAAGATGTTTGTTGTTGTATTTGAGAGTGTTTAATATCAGTGTTGTGAAACTTAGTGTTTAATTATTGATATTAAGTAAGTTTAATGGTTGATTGCATTTCGACATGTAGTACAAGGTATTTTTAAAACTTCAATTTATCATTAAACTTTTCTATTCAAGATGTTGTAAAATAATACGAAATAAAAATATTGGCAACGTATGTATCTACAGAGAAACACAATTAAAGTAAATGTATGGAATTATATAAACTTAAAAACGGCATTTTGCTAGCATGAAAGTTCACGCCACAAACCGATAGTCTGTGTTATTGATTCTTTCCCGGAAACTCATTTTTTAAGACTAGCAACCGATTGGTATTGAAATCATACACAACATGCAAATATGTAATTACTTAATGACCCCGCCATTCATTTTATAGCAAAATTAAGATCCAGTTACCGACAAAAAATTAGTACGAACATGGCAAAACAACAAATAATATTCTGATTATTGTAAATGTAATTATTGTAAATGTATTTATACATTGCTATTGGACAGCCGTAAAACGTGATTGCGATCATATTGTCTACGTGACTGCGATCTACTGGCGACAGTACGCGTATTACACGCGGGCGAAAGTTTAAAGTGTCTGTCATTAACCAGATAAATATTTAATAACAAATTATTTATTATTTGTAAATCGTGACTTTACAAAAATAATTAAAGCATGCATTATACGTGATACAGAAACGTATAACTAAATTTGATACGAGTGGAATCTGATATCGGATACAAAATGTAACATTTGATTTGTTACAAGCCCAAAAGTCAAATATTATTGCGTTTATATACAAAAAATATTTCTCTCTAATGTAAAGGCTTTTTTCACGCATTAAATTTGTCTAAAAGAGAGCCTCACTCCTGTATATATACAAATATGGTTCTACAGTTTCATGCCTAAAACCAGGATAGTTTTTTTATGGAGTAGTCCTTCACGCCTTCGGGATGCAATCTGCAACACTCGAATGATCTGCGGGATGAATATTTTACATTGCAATTGTATAGTATATTCTCTTCCAGCATTTGTGTCCAAATATCCCTCTTTAGTTGTTACAAGTGTAGGTAGTTGTACGAACATATTTCATTCCTACGCCATTTTCACACTTCATCCAGACGTTTTCAGTCCTAAAAAAAGCAGAATGTTCATATGAATCATTTTCAAAAACCCATCATTCCCCGTTTATTTTACTCTGCGTACGTATACCGAATGTGATTATCTCTGACACATAGTTACATGTACCATATTTAATACGGTCTAAAACTATTAAGTTATAACACTAAAGCCAGTAGTTTTAACTACGGCTGACGAAAACTTATTTACACCCAGTTATGTCTTTCATGTGCTTCATTCTTTAGAGTTTTCATGACTCATTCCCTGAAACTCTGCATCTTCCTCAAAAGCCTGCCCCCCGTGAGCGTCAGTTGTGGCGTTTTATTATGTGCGCGCCCAATCCTGAGCTCTCGGCTGCGGCGGGGTCTCTAGGAGCAGCCGGCGCGACGTCCTGATTTGCGGTCGATACGGCCTCTGGCGGAGCTGCTCGCGGCGGCGTCTTCTGCTCCCCAAAGCCGCTTTCGCGCACGTCTTCGCCTCGTGGACCGCCCAAGGCTCCCTCGCCCCACCCCCACCCAACCCCACCCACTGCTCCGTCCCCACCTGGCGCGGCGACAGCGTTACAGCTGCTTACGTTGCCTCGCGAGGTGCCACCAACTTCCGGGATTCCTGGGAAGTTTTTTAAGAAGACAATTACGAAGAAAGTGTATAGGAAGTTACAACTTTATTATCACAGTTCTAAGAATACGTATTACTGTGAGGATACCTGGAATTGGAGATTATATTTTAATATAAAAATATAGTAAAATAAAAGGGGATTCAAAATGTTGCTTATGTTTATCAGGGAAGTGATTTTGAAGTCCTTAATACAGCGTTCTTTCTGCAATCAAGAAACACGGCGCTTTAAAACTTATTTTTGGGTTTACATTTTCCAAGAACATTACAGTCTAAAATAAATAAAAATTAAATAGAAGTGTCAGAGAATTAAAACCACGAGCGAGCCATATAATTTTTTTAACAGTTGGCCAGCAGATTAAACAATAGCAATTGTTGAGAACCGACGTCGTGTTATCATATTCTACTAGTTTTTCCTGCCAGTGCATTTTGATAATGTAACGCTCTTTTCGATAAACTCTGCCATAGGTTTACCTCTTACCATGGAGGAATAATGCCATATTCTGAGTTTATGATCTGGACTTTCTCATACTGCATGCATATAGTTTTCTAATTATTGGTATCTATGACACTCAAATACCACTGCATTATTTGACATCATAAAACTAGCAACGTCATAAATGGGTGAAGTAGGTGCGCTTGCACACGTTTTCAAGGAAATTTGGAATATGGTCGAAGACGTAATTTCGAAAACGTCAAATCCTCTACGAATCATAGATAGTTTCCTTTGTAATTTTCAAACCAGACGATTCGAGTTAATTACGTATTGATGGAGAGGCTGATAAATATTTTCCTACTCTTTGTACGAGATATTGTCATTAGTCATTATGATCTTGATTATTTTTATAGCTTTGAGATTTACTTTTGTAGTCACGACCATATATGTGGTTTTGATACAGTTTCACCCACTTTTGCAGCTATCTGGACTACAAGCCACTTCGATTTACTTTTCATTTGAGTCCGGCTTTGACGAAACTAAAACTTACATTTTGAAGTACACCAGCACCTCCAAAGATTGTGCTGCAGAAATAAAAGATAAAAATTCAAGACAACAGGAATGTTTTGAAGCAATTGTGGGAAATAATTGAGTTAACGTAAGAACGTATCGAGAAAATGATTCAAAAGTCCATCACAACTTTTCGTACAATTTAACACAGATATTAAACTAAAAATGTTTATGCTTCACGGATATTAAAAAATATACTATGTAAAATACGTAATCTAAGAGAATTTTCACAAATAATTCGTTTTACATAGTAATAATAAATTAACAAAGGAAAATTTCAATTTTTTAGACCATTTGCGTACATTATATTCAAAATACACTTGTAGGATAATGTTTGCAACTGTTTTCCTAGTAATACTGTACAACGAATGGTTCAATTTGCGTTTTGCCGTTTTTACAGTTTGCGTGGAAGAGAAGATATTATAATTCTAGATGGTACTTAAAAAAATTAAATGCTTCAATTTAATAAGTGTGTTCAACTCTTCTCTGTAAGCTCTTAAAATAAAAATTGAAGGTGGAAGAAATATTCACATTTTCTTTACACCATTACAAATGTGAAGTTTTCTTAAGACTTCATTGTTTTATACCAATAGGATAGCCAATATCACATTCAACATGCTCTGTTTAAATAATCGGTGTCTCGTAAATCAGATGACTTGAGCAAACTCGACCAACGTACTTTGGCGCGCAATTCGTCGAATACCGCGCCCCAACTGCTATGCACACGCGCTGGAATTTCTATCCGTCAGACTACTCTGTTTATGGCTGACTCTGGCACGCTCGCGTAATACAAGTACAGGATATCACATCTCCCAGCAATGCAGCCAATAAGGACAGAGTCCACATGACGCGTCGTGGGTCCAGAATGAGAAGGAATATTCACAATGAATAAAAGCAAGTTTCTATTAGGAGCTAATTAAAGGAGTTGGGGCAAATTAATGATAACTCAAATGTTTGTAATTTTGGGTTCCCAGAGGAAACAAAGAGGTTTTTGAAAGTCCAGACACTTCCCAGTGTATGCAGAACACTTCCTGCCACTTTCTAAACACACGTTCTATTTGATTGATTACGTTCTGTGCAGCATTTGAGCCTCTGTTTGATTTTGGAGGATTGTGGAGGTCTTTATATTGGATGTGTGAAGTGATGGTTTTATGTTGCCTCGACGGTTTCAACTGTAACATTCACGTGCAAATGTGTACAGATTGTACGTTCACATCGACGTTCAACATTTCTATTAAGGATCTTCCTTGTCCATATCACTGTTTCCCCAACCAAATTATTGTCCGCCTTAGTTATTTCGTCCTTATCAAGCCATAGAGTCCGAAGGCTGACGACGTGCCGGGTCCCCCGGGTCTTTTGGATACTACAGACCGCCCCCCGTGCCATGCGTCTGTAGTATCCAAAAGAAAACAATTTCTAAAAATGGATTTATTCCAACCACAATCCGTACAGAGGTAGACAAATTCAAGCCAGATCCAAACAATTTTCCAGAAGATGTACCGAAGAATGTCCAAGTCACAATTTCCTGGGGAAATGTCCAAAATCGCAGCCGTTGTGCCGTTCCAAAGAGAGAGAAAGTCCGTAACCGTCGCTGTGTCGTCGCACTTGTTCACAATCACTTAGCACTTCACAGGCAGGCGCTTGACTGTCTCTCAGCTCGCCGGGCGCGGGCTTTTATAGCCGGCTCGGGCTGCGGGTCGCGCTGGCCAGCTGTTCAGGTACGGGTGGCGCCCCGTCCGCTCCGGAGCCTAGGTCGAAGCGTTGGCGGCGCCGCGGCGTCTGCTATCGCCGCCCTCTCCTGAGTGGCGCCGGCACTAATTTCCGGCGGCACTTTTAAAGGCACGCAGTCGGCCACAGCAGCGTCCGTCTGACCTCCACCCCCGCGCGCGCGCTGTGCCCGCAGGCCGTATCCCGCAGATGAGCCGGAGCCGGCCGCGCTCGCAGCAGCAGCAGGCGAGCGTGCGACGGGAGCGGCCGCGTTCGCGCAACATCTAAGCGCGCGCGTGCGCGCCATCCGCCGGCTGCTGGCGCGGCGGCGCGAGCAGCTGCAGCTGCAGCGCTACAATCGCATCCGCCTGCCGCACGTGGTGCAGTGGCGGCGCTGAGCGCGGCGCGGCAAGCCGCCGCCCTTCCCCGCTGTTTCGGTCGCCCCTCGCCCAGCGACTTGCACAATTATGCATGAAGTTTAGATGTTCATGGAATGTAACGAAAACTAATTCCGAAATGTTCTTCAAATAATTGTCTACATTACTGTATATCTGTCGAGTGTTGGAAAAGGTTGCGTAGGTTTCATCTACTGTTTTACCTCTTTCTTTAAATCTTACTCGATGTAAATTATAAATATCACCACCCTTCACTTGTTTCCCCCCCGTTAACAATCACGGAATTCATAATAAACGAATAATTTTCACATCTAAATCAACAAAAAATATTTACCAATCGGTGAGAAAATAAAACGGTGTGTTTTCACTTATTCAATTAGCCAACCATGGCGGCGTATCGGCTGGAACCTAAAAATGGTTTTTCACGTCGCTGTTTCGATTTCTCCTCGTTTATTGTAGTTTACTACCGATCTCTGCATTCCACGCTCATCTTTCAGTCCTGCATTCCTCCCCCTTGTCGCGTATTGCCCCAACATTGTTCTTCCGTATTTTCAGGCGACAATAATGTCTGTGTGTTGACAATAAAATACAATTTTATTCGCATTGGCCCAATTTTTAACAATGTATCTATAAGACAATAACTGACAATAAGAAACATCACATATTCAGATTAATCGTACCTACTTTTTCTCACACACCTTGATTTTCTTGTTTTAATTTACAGTCATTAGAAGCATTCTTCTACAGTATTTTTTGAATTAAATTATATGGTAAATAAATTCGTACAGCAGTATTATAATAAGAATGAGAAATGTAATATTACCAGAAAATGTGGACTAATAAATATTAAAAATAAATCAATTTAAAGAATTGCATTGAAAATGTGTTTTCCTTTTTCCCCATTCCTCCGTTTCCAGACTTGGCGCAATCACGCAAAACGTTAGATTCATGAAAGTTATACAATCATGAATTATACAAAGTGATTGTTGAGGACATCTCATTAACATTGTTACAATATCCATTATGAAACGTTTCTGTAATAAACTGAATGATTTTATAAAGCATTCAGTTCACGAGATGTTGCCATAAGGTCAATGCTCCTGCACTATTCTTCTAATGAAAGCGAGACGTTATTTCAGTTTATTTTAAGAATGTTTATGAAATGTCATTTTCATGACAGCGCAATATCATGAAGTCCTCCAAGTTAGGTTTAGAAAATATTAGAATGATGTGTAGGTGAAAAAGCGCACAAAGGAAATGAAATAGTATTCACTAGAAATTGAAGCTTTTTTAAAAAAAAAATGTTCCAGGGGCTTCATATAAAGTACAGCCTTGCGGGAAAAAATATCCATTTTAAATTCAAGGGGACATTACATCAATCCAGATCGATTAAGGATTATTAATTTTAGTGAAAATCCTGATCACGATTTAGCCGCTAGCGTTGTTCACAGACGAGTAGACGTTCTGGCGACAATCGATTTTTCAGTATTAGAACACACAGAACATGAATTCTTACTACATAACGGATTAGATGAAGTAATTTACTATATATAGGGACAAGATTTATTCACTTTTTCGTTAACAAGCCTAGGCAATAAAAGTTTTTCTGTTGAATATTCACCGCTTTTTTCCCGCATCATAATACTTTCTCTATACTGCGTTAGCAGTAGCGAGAAAGTAAAAATGAAAAAATCTAAAAAGCTCACTCACTTTGACGCTTGCTCGCGCTAATGATAGAACATTGACTGCTTTCGACAAATCAACTTCACTTCGCAAAACGAAACGATTAAGATATAATTGATCTTGAAAATGAAACGAACAAATAGCGGCAGTTAAGCGTTCATAAATCCTTATTCAGTGTTCGAGTAAAACTCATGAGTGTACGTATGTGTGAAATTTCGTCATTGGCGGCTAGACCAACTCTCTTGCGCCAACCGACACGTTATTCGACGCATCTCGACCTCCTAGTGGGGAACTCACAATTTGTTTTCGGATCCGGCCAGAAGATTCAAAACAATTTCCAAACACGTGTTTTAACGCTGCGATCTTAGCGATAATATCAGGAATTAAACCAACGCCTACGAAATCGATCTATGCTGGTGGCATTGATTTAACACCAGTACCCAAACAAATATTTAGCAAAATACGCCATAATTTTCTTCCACGACGTTGGCAACACTGATGTTGACATCTTTAAGTGAACAATTGAATTACTGAGTAAATCGCGCTGCAGATTGATTTCAATTTAGATTCAAATTAAAAATAAATTTGCGAAAACATACGAAGAATATTGCCACGGAACTTATTAAATTCGAAGAATTTCAAGTGAATACGGAGAAATGAAAACTGAGTAATGCTAGAGAATGAATGAACGTTATGTTCTACGTCTCACTTTTAAGTTCTTATATGAGTGCAAATACCGATTTTCAAATGAATGTGGCCCACAACTTATTCATATTAAACTGAACGAACACCTTATTCACATAAACATACAAAGCAGTCGCCTTTTAATGTTAGATTTGCATGCAACGCTAGATTCGCATACAAAACAATTAATAGAGCAATATAGAAGTGCAATGCAAAGTAGAATTGAACACAAAATAGACTGAGTTTATAAAGTTTCGGTCTCTTCAAAAATTAGTGGAGAAAAATATGGAAGTTTTAAGGAAATCCGGGGAAGAATCAAATGTAGTAAAAGATGTTGCGACAGAATTTTCGGAACTAATTGAGGATGATCTGCATTTCTGCATTTAGCATTTGTGCTAATGCAAATGTGCTATGTGCTATGTGCATAATAGCATAAAAATGTAGCTGTACTAAATTTCAACTTTCAGCAGCACAGCCTGCAAGTATTTGTTACGGAGATTATAACTTTTAATTGCAATAAGACCAGTACATATCCCCTATGGAGG